GGTCTCAAACAGGAGGCTGTACAGGTGAAATCTCCCTGCTGCAGCAGTGTGTTACAGGAGCATTCCAAGAGAATGAATCAGCACAGCACTGGGAATTGAAGCCTCTGTGAACTGTAATTTAACTCTAACAAAATAAAAGACACACTCACTAATACGCGGGCATACAGGACGCAATGTCACTTGCTCCATTATATTATCCCTGAATTCTGTCAGTATGGATTCCTAGTCCCAGTCATGAAAATGATATTTTTAACCCATTTCTAGCCCCATTAATTTGTGACACAGTATGTCTTACTTGCATTTGAGACCTTTCGATCATCATCTAAGAATTTCCAAGGTCAAAATGCTGGTTTTTTTCCATCTAAGAACCAAAAAAGCACTAAAGCCTTCTTTCTCTCTCCCTCCTTCCCTTTTCTCTCTCTCATACTAGAGGTCTTCAATCTCAACAATAAAAGTGCGTGAAAAGTAGATGAAAGAAAGTGAAAGGCTTTAAATTACTGGTCTCTTCTACTGGCCAGGCCTTTCCACAGAGGCAGACATTCTTTTCTTTGGGTGTTAAAAAACATACCTACTAACAAGCCAAAGTTGTAGTGGTCAAAGACTCCTGTAACTACAGGACGAGTGGGTTAAGATTATAAAAGTTTATACTGAAAGCATGTTTGGTCAAACAGGATTTTCATCATCTAGTTGTTATACCTAAAAGAAATGCCCTGTTCAATAAAGCACTAGAGAGAAATCACTTTCTAAACACAAGTGGTGATGCAGTGACGCTCTGTCAAAGCCCTTCACTCTCTTCTTGCGCTACTGTATCTGCAAGCCCCACCTCCGCCAACCCGAAAATCAATGTAACAACTCGATGCACAAGGCAAGGCCTATGGCGCTGCTAATGTCCCCTTGCTGGACATATACCTTAAGTCTCAGAGCTCTCAAGGGGTTTGCTGTGGAATAAAATTAGATTCCAACATCTGCCACTATTAAGGAAAAAATTCCATTTCCATCTCTCATATGAAAACACTATAACCAATGAACAGTAACTGAACCTTGATCCCGTAATGGTTATTACCCAAATCAACTATTTTTTTTAAACAGTAAAATTAGCAAATTCTGCTCTCATAATTATTTGAATGTTATCAGACTAAATGTCTGATAAAATTCCAATATGATGCACTTGGAAAAAACTGCTGCTTATGTGAATACCCAGAATATAAAGTGTATTCATTTGTAGCTATTCACATTATGTTTAAAGCATATCATCTTTTTAAAGTTTGCATTAGCTTGCTTTCTTACCCAAGCACAAAAAGTAGCCTACCTTCAGTTTTTACTTGCATATTTTATTCAGACATTTCTATTAAAGCTAAGAACAATCTCATTTCTATTACTTATAAAAGAGGGAGAATATAATACATGTAAAATGGTGGAATCTACATAAGTTGGTTTCCTTTACTGCAAATACCTTATACATTAGTCACTGCATAGTACAACTATGATGTGTCTGGTTCCATAAAAGTCTGGGACTGTAGTAACTTTAAAATAATTATGATGCCTGCCACTCAGGGTACCTACCCAAAGCTTTATCTTCTAAAATGAAAAGTATTTGGGATACACAGATGATAAGTAAATCACCGTTATCAGTGTGAAGGACTGAGTCTCTTACATAACACATTATAATACTTTAGTCATTTGTGTATAGTGTTGTACAATTTATTAAAACCCTTTTGCATACATTATAGAACATGACCTCCTCCCATGTTAAAAGAATCTTGGCCTCAAAAAAGGTTAAATAATTTCCCAATATTATAGGGTGGATGACATAGCCTGTACCATCATCTCCTTTTGCCTCCTCCACTATCATGTATCCCTCCGACCCCCAAATCAGCCTGGATTCTAAGGACGCTATGTTGGTAGGTACCTGTGATCCATGAATATGTCAATGAAGAAAGGAAAGCCCTCACTGTTTCTGTGATCAAGCAGTCCAATATCCCTAAATTTCCTCTTTCTGGAGCAGAGTATAACTTCAGTATTGAGCCCATTATTTGGGAAGCAGGCTGAGGAGATGCTGAAACAGTGGGAGAGATGGAGAGAACTTGGGGTTGCCTATTTATTAGCTGTGTGACTGTCCTGTGTCAAATGAGGACAATAACACTGGCTCACAGGCTTCCTCTGAGAATTAAATGTAGATAATATAAAACGTAAGATGGGTATAGAACAAAAAAGGTGATGAATGCTCACTTCCAGCCAACCCAGAGGCCAAGGCGAGCCACAGAAACAAGGAGGCAGATGGGCTGAGACAGAAGTGACGTCGGTGCTTACGCTCTTCATGTCCACTTCCATCTTAGGGAACTTTGCCTCATTTTGATAATCCTTGGCACACACATCTGAGGCATAAATAACTATTCTGGAAGTTAACAATGGTGACCATGAGCAAGATCAGTCTGATATGAAGGTTTTTGTTTGTTTGGTTTGCTTATTCGTTTTTCGGCTTCCTTCACAAAACATCTCAGCAGGAGAACAGAACTTAAGTAATTAACTACCTTTCCTTGTTAAGTCCAATTTTATATCTTAATGATACAGACAGTTTTGGGGCTGTCTCACTTCTAAAGTAATCATTAGTCTTCACGTGTATGTTAGTAAAGCGGTGGGCACTGGTACCTAAACTGAACAATTAAGAGAAAGCTACAGAAATGTGCTGCTAGGAAGTCAGAGAAAGCTTAGTTAGGAATAACTACCTAAAGGAGAGAAAGTTATAAAGTTTTGTTTGACCCCAAAGGCTACGACTAGCCTCCTGAGTTCACTCTCAGCCATTAATGGGATTAGCTGAGCCAACAGCTTTGAGGGCTCTGGGCAAAACACCATCAGAGGAGACACACAGAAGTTGCCAACTGACATTGTTGAAACAGAGACTCACCGAGAGCGGTTGTAGGACAGGGACAAAGAGTAAGGGTGTTTAAAAACTTCCCCAAACATTACTCACATGACATTACTGGCCAACTGCCTCTACTGTCTGAACAGTCTCCAAATCAGTAGCTCAGCCCGTGGGGGAAGAGTTTGGCATAGCGTTTTTTAAAAAAAGGAATGAAGCACAAGGTAGCAAAGGGACTGCTAATTCTAAGGAGCCATGCTATTGTCAGAAAGGAAACTGGGGACAGGGAGGAGGGGCCAGACTGAATTAAATGAAAGATGACAGGCAGCTGAATGATAGCTATCTGAAAGTTTTGGTATTAATTTTTGTTTGTTTTGTTTTAAGGCTGGTCCTTATAACAATAATGCATGTCTAGCTTCTCTGCTAATCTATTTTGGAGATTTGGGAAAAGTGTTTGGCCCTTGTAGGAATAGTCTGTTATTCTTGTTAATTTAATTGTGCAGGTCAGAGAAAAAGATTTAAGATCAGTAAGAAGGGCAAGATAATATACATTTAAGTATGAGAGGCTCATCATAATTAGACTAAGTAGCCACAACAAGACTGTGCAGGGTGGGTGGGTGAGGGGTAAAGCGAGAACAGGACATTTCTCCTTAATGCATAGTCTTGGCATGTAAATGAAGACATCTGAAGAAGCACACAGGTTTGAAGCGGCTCTAACATTCTATCATAATTAGAAACATTTCAAGAGCCCTGTAATTTCCAATCAAAATTACAGTAATTTCCGATATACAAGCCATGATTCATGACAGAATTTTACATTCCATGAGAGATTACAGTGGCCTGATGTATGACACGCTGAGTACAGCACCAACATAAACAATTCAGTTTAATGTTTAAACAGCACTTGATGTTTAGAATCTCACAATAAAAGAAACATATTATTGTAGAAATTATCACTTTGACAGTGATTGAAGGGTAGACAGGCATGTGGCCTATAAAGCTATAATTTTTACAGTCCACAGCTTGAGTTTAATCATTTTTATGTAACATTTCCAAGATACCCCTTAAGTATTTCATCCAGCCTATAACTTAAACAAGAACAACCTTTTCCTAAAGCAAAACTCCCAGCAAGTGCCACTACGGATGCTGACAGAGTAAAATTTTAGGAAAAGCTGAAAGGGTATATTGCAACATCGTATAATAAATACTGCCAGGACTGTGCATTTATCAGAAGTTGGTAACAGCCTGTTTTCTATAGGAATGTTCATTAATGATAATACATATGTTCAAAATTTCAAATTGTTAAAATCTCACCTCAAGGGCTTAATTGCCTATAAATCTCACTTGGATAGTGTTAGCAAATGTTTTTGTCAGTTAATATTGTTCTGGGCTTTTAAAAAGTATTCATGGCTTTGAAGAAGAGTTTATAGATAATTGTGAGCTTGTTCATATAGACGATTCTACTTCTGATAAATGTAAGTTATCAATATATGACAATTATGCTGATCAAAGATCACATTAGCTAGTCTTTATTAAGTTTTTATCTTGTTTTGTAGGGATTTGTAACTTTTCCAATTTGATTTTATTCATTTATAATTCATCATATTTGAACAATTTTTTCCAATTGAAATTCAATTTATGTGTCCTGTATAAGTCTCCAGAAAAGTTAATATCATTAATATGCAAAGATGTGTGTGTGTGTGCACCAGTTTGTTTTGAAGTGTACATAATAGTTGTACAGGCCCAGGTTGGAACAGAAGAACCTGTATAACGTAGCCATTATAGGCTTGAAATCAAGGCCATCTAAGTAAGACCGAAACAGTAATTCAAGTCATTTTTTCACTAATACAGGCCATAGTGAGAAACTTCCTATACGTTACTATATTCTTAGGAAAACAACCATTAACTGACCCAGGGATTTACTGAGAAATCATTGATCTGGGATGGCTATTGGAGGAACAAAACCAAGTATCCTTTACCTGAATTGGAACCTTTTGTTTCATCTTAGAGCTCTGTAAGTAATCCTGGAGACTGTGACCTCTCGGTGATGCAAGTCCATATTGAAAACAGACACCCCTTTTCATGAAAAGTCCACCAGCATCACAGATAAACATTCTCCGTGCCTAACAGAGGCTCTTACCTGGCTTTTGGTTGCCGCAACCTTTGCGAACAGTGCTTGGGACACTTTAGCGCGCTTCATTTCCTGCTGAATCTCATCATAAATGGAAGCATTAATGTTCATGGTATTGTTCTCTGGTTTCCCATTTCTCTCAGTGGCTATAGTAGCTGTTTTCACCTACAAAATGTTTTGAACATGACTGTCAGTTTTCATTAGCCAAATTGTTTTGAAGGTTTTCAGGCTCAGCATCCAAACTGGACACTGTTGCTCCTTTTATGATCAATGTGATCAACAGTGCAGTCATTCAACATTAGTTATTACCCTGAGATCAGATTGCTTAACTTAAGGAAGTCACACTGTCACAGGTGATTGCCATCTCTAATACGACAGTAACTGCCAGCTGACAACCAGGAATTATAATGCCATAAAGTAAGTTTTCTGGAAAACAGAATAGTTTCAAAGACTTGAAAACCCTAAACTAATTGTTTCCCAATTACCTTCCATTGCAATCCTAACAAAGGAAATTCACAATTAAAATCGTAATGCACAATGCTGTATCTTTATCAGGTGCTCTGTGCCTAATACAGACAATTGCATCACTAATAGCTACTACATACTATGGCCTTTTTAATTTTAGACTCTTTTTTATGCCTTTTCCTCTTATGTTTCATTTTTAAAATCTTCCATAACAAAGCCATTTGCAGAGCTGCATATTTAAATCTTCCATCCATCCATGAAACAGGTAGCGCGCCTTGCTTAATTATCATAAAGGCTGGCTGCATTTTACATGTGCATGTCCAAGCTGTTCTGTGTAATTATTTCATCTTTTCCTGGCACCCCTGTACATAACTATTTCCTTTGGACTTGTGAACCAGACAATAAGAAAATGTTTCACAATATTTAATAGAACATTGCTGTAAGTTACACAGAATATATCGTCAGTGACTTTACTAATATATTCAAAATGTCTAAGGCTGAGTTAAAAAATAGTATTGATGTCAATGCCTTTAGTAATAATAAGCAGGTATCAGCAGGAAAATGCTGTAAAATTTTAGGGGGAAAATCAAATCTCAACCTCAAAATTGACTGATATTATTATTAATCTTTAAAACTCCAAATTTAATTTTTATTATGCAGTTATAGGAACTAGCCTGGAAATTTACATATGAACCATGTACCTGCTTATTTACTGGGAAATTGATGAAAATGAAAAATTACTACTGATCAAGACCACACTGCTCTCAGTAAAATGATCCATTAAGGACGTCACTTCTTAGGGTCCTTTATACAACTCACATTTTTGTCCTCTAGAGACTTACCACCTTGGACAAGTTCTTACATATAATACGAACACAATAGAAAATGAACTGTATTTCAGGATAAACAAATGATTACTGGCACTAAATGACATACCCCCGAAGTTATATTTAAATTTTCCAGGTTCATTTCACTCTGCCCTGTAATATTTGGTATGAAAAGAGGGACGGAGGTTATATTTGGTGATTGATTTCTCTGCACTCAGAGAGTAAAAGAGTCCCCTTTAAAATGTTCCTTCAGAAATCTTCCAAATCTAGCCAGTTAGTAAAATAATTCACCTCTTGCTTATCTTGAGCGGGCAGCTATATTCTTCCAATGTGACACTACCATTGTAAACACTAAAATGATAACACCGTGAAATGGTTAAGACACAGACCTGAAGTGATGACACGGGTGGCAAGGCTGGACAACTGACAAACTTTTCTGGGCCTCCTTTGCCTCTCCTGAACTATAAAATGGAGTCGGGAATAACAAGAGACTAGGCCAGAAGCTTCCAGAGTTCCCCTTCTAGCTCTGTGACTCTGGTTAGCGAGCGTCCTCACAGAGGTATATTAACGACTGGAGACCACTAAGAACGCACACAGGGCTTTGAAGCAATAATCTGCTAAACACCACTTTAGGAGCCAGAAGAGTTAACGCATTACCATAAATTGCCTACAAAGTTGCTTTGGTGAGATTCGCAACTTTGCTCTGGGGTGGTCTTGCTTTGAGGCAAAGGGATAGATTTGATCACCCCACAGGGTCCCTTTTAATACCTATTTTTCTCACTGCTTAAATGAAAAAGAAAAGAAAAGCCATTTCAATCGCTTTGAAAATTGAGTGTTATGGAAATGGGGGCATGAAGTCCAGTGCATTGGAAGAAATAGTAGCAATGTGCTTAGCAATATTTAAGGGAGCAGGCTTTGAAAACTTTGTATTTTGGTGTGTTTTAAAAGTAATTTCCATTCTCTTGTAAAAATTATGCTTCAGAATTTATCTTCAAGGGGACTCATTTGTTTCAACCCTAGGCTTGTTTCTAAAAATTTAGTTTAGTTTTGTTTTTTTAATAAAACAATTACAGCTTTAACCAAAAAATAATTTTAAATCATAAAAAAAAAAAAATCCTTTCCCTGTAGCCAACACAATCAAAAAAGTGAAAAACAAGACACACGACACATTAAAAAAGAAACAAAGAAAGAATGTGAGGGCAACTTTTATAAAATATAAAGTAAGAAAATATCTGTATTACTCATTTAAAAACTGTTCAGAAAAGCTCATCTTTACTGTCTTGCTGGCCCAGATATCCATCTTACCATAGATAAGCTATTAGAATTCTGAAATCACATTTTTTCCTAAACACAAGCTATTGCTTAAGGGGAACTGACTTGGACAGCTTTTCAAAACTATGAAAGCTGAATTTTTCCCCAGGTAAAAATGGAAACAAAAATCTTTTATACCTCACTCTACTAAGTACTATTTTAGCTTAGTACAAAAAAAAATCTTCTTTAATCCTGGTTTAGCTTTTAATATTATATCACACATTAAAATTCATAAAGTAGTTCATTCCAGGCAAAACAAACTACTCTTCAGCTCTTCTCCGCAAATAGCACAGGAGGTAAAATAAATGCAGTTGCTTTCCGAATAGCTTTTATCAAGGTAGGGCGTTCTACTCCATCATTACAGCGGCGCCGGGAAGTAGTTAAGAATTGGAGTTTCGACTTCTACCCTCCCACACGGGGACAGGGTGCAGCACTAGGGGCCTGCTTTTTAGTCCACTAAAATTGTGCAGTAGAACACAAATTTCCATGAAAACGCTATTTTGCTTCTTCACGGACTGTGGAATGCATCCAGTCATACTTTTAGGTTACATAAAAATGGATTCTACTGCGGTCTTGATTGGTGAATATGCTTGCTTTTCCTTGATGCAATTGCCCACAAGCACAGAGAACTGCCCACAAGCTCATAGCTCCCACACACAAAATAAAAATTTTATATAGTTTTAATAATAATTATGATAATACTAAAGGCTGACATTTATTAGTTGTTTATTATATGCTAGGCATTGTGCTAATATACACTATTCTCTTTAACCTGCAGAATACCTCTAAGTAGGTACTATTATTACCCCCATTTAATAATTTAGAAAATCTTAATACAAAGAGACCAAGTAATTTGTGCAAGGGAAAAAGCTGAGATCTGAACTTAAGTTTGTCTGATGCTAACGCGTTATCTTTGAAACCACTGTGCTATATCCATATAAGATCATGTCATTACGTGGACCTTCTTAACTTTGAAAAATTCTTATTTTTTAAAACATGCTGAATCTGCTCTTTGGTGGCATTTTGCTAAATCTAGAAGCCCTGGTGGTGCCGTCTCGGCTGCTAACCAAAAGGTCGGCAGTTCGAGTTCACCAGCCGCTCCTCGGAAACCCTGTGGGGCAGTTCTGTCGTACAGGGTCGCTACAGTCAGAATCGACTGGATGGCAAAGGGTTTGGTTTTGGGTTTTGCTACATCTAGCCTATTGGCGCCCAGTTTTTAGTAGCTAATGGTTTTATCATTATTTTTAAAAATATGCAAACTATAAATGTTTTCTTGGTAGTGTAACAAATGTGCTATTCTGAGGCATTCTTATTGGTGATAGAAAATATCCCTACTCTCAAATTTCTACGTGCTGATACTGTCTTGAGTATTATGGTTCTCGCTCTTGTTTATTTTTTTTAGGCTTTTTTTTTTTTAATTTGTAGGAACAAAATTAATTATTTCCCAAACTTGGACCATTAAACACTCTCTAGCTTTTACAAAATGGCAATTAATGCGAAGCATTTCAAAAGCACATTAAGAGAGAGATCTTAAAATAATGTTATTTAAGGGATCCATAAGAAATAAAACATTTATCATGTTTAAATAACCTCCTGCCTATAACTGAATCTGAAATCAAGATGAACCTATGTCTCACCATATTAAAGAAGAATTTGTTGTAAAGAGACACACGAGTCCATCTACCAGATTAATACATATTCCTTACATGAAACTTTGTACATTTTCTAAAGCATTGGTACAAAATATCACACCTTCCTGTAGAAGAAACCAAAGAATTACATAGAGATGTAAAAAACAAAAGAGAATTATATAATTCATTTAGAAGTTATAACTTGATACTTACAGATTTTTGAAAGCATCAGAAATTAACTACAAAAGATATACATACAAGAACACAACGAAGAAAACCAGGATGAGCATGCACCTGAGGTAGAAATCATCACATTAAAACTGATCTATACTATGCAAAAGAGAGCTGCTAGAAAACAATAATTATTATTAATAAAATCCCTTTTATTAAGTCATCTGGAAAACGTTAAGCATAGATAGAAAAGAAACCTTTAAGACCGGGGAACTTTGGAGGTATTGGATTCACCCAAATATTTTCAAGCAACCACAGCGTGGAAGGGGTTATTTTCTCCACAATCCCAGAGATGCCAGGTTGTACAATGTCTTCCAACATGGATCATTTGTCAAACATTTAATGTCCTCTATCAGGAGAACATTCTCACATGTGTTCTCCTAATTTAACAATAAAACTTCCTATCCTCTAGACAAACAGAAAAGGTCCTCAAGTCTCATTTTCCTCACTCTAAAATAAGTTGGTTTGTATTTTGAAAAGGTAGCTTGACACAGAGGAAAGAGCAGCAGACTCAAATAGGGAATTGAAAACTTTAACTAAACCTTAGACTTGGCATTCTTGTTTTTCTCATACCAAAATGCTGGTAGAAGGAGTCAGTGAATTAATGTATGTGAAGGTGCTTAGAAAACTGTGAATCATTATCAAATGCAAGGTATGCTTATTTCTTGAATCAAAGCACGTAACTTGTGAAGATGTGCTTTCGGCAAACAGGTCTGCTCCAGCCACACATGGCTGGTTGCCCCTACAGGAGTACGGGGGGTGAGTCTGCCCAGGATGGTTCTTACCTGGGTGGGGACTGCCCAAAGCTTTGGTGACTCCTGAGACTGGTCAAGTAACCCCAGGTGAGGTATTCCTAGAAGCTACACCTGGGGCCTGACTAAAACCAGGAAAGCCCCTTCTTGAAGACATAATCAGAATCCCTCAAAAGTTTAGGTCCTTGGTCTGGCCTGCCCCAGGGGCATTCCAAACCATCCTAGTGTGTGGCCTAAACTCCACAAAAAAAGGAGCTGGAGGAGAATCCAGTCTCTCAGGTCTAAAGGTGAGCTGGGTCTTCTGTGAGCCAGCAGGGGCCTCTGCCTACAACACGCAGCTCTTTAGACAGCAATCAGGGTTCAGGTCCAACACAAGCTTGAGATTAGTCTCAAAACAAATTATGTTTCAAATCCTCTTCATTTTGGAGGAAATGAAACATGCGATATCACACAGCCTTTGCTCTGACTGATAAAATTTAAAAGGACAAAATCTTACAGTTAGTCTTGTTTCTGTATCTGTGGTTTCCTCCATTTTTGTTCTTCCATTGTGGTCATTTGTCATAAACATACTAAAAAGCTTTACGTGTGGTGTACTGGCTCCAATTGTAAAGCATTTGATTTCATCTGTTGCAAAACGGTGCTAATTCAACTGTTTTATAATACATTTTTCCCAAATCTACAGTACTCATTTTGCACTGATAATACTTTTAATACATTAAGAATTTCTTAAAATTTAATTTATCAGACCACTGTTAAAGGTAGAATGGGAACAAATTGGTAGTGAGCTGTACCATAATAATATTAAGTAATGCAAACGGATTCTCAGTGAGATAAATAAGGTCTTTAAAGATTTATGTTAGAGCAGTCAAATAAAATTATACACACATACACATACATAGCGGATAATCATTCTGGAATTTGTTTAGATGGCCTTCATAGAAGCATTCATAGAAGCAGTTTTTTCTTTGCAAGTTTCACTAAAAATATCTACATACCTTATATGTTCATCCTTGACTAATTCCCCCAGCTAAGGGTTTGATCTCAGCCCCTCTTGAGAACAGCTAAGGGTGGCTCAGCCCATCAGGAATTGAGGTCAAAATAAATTATATACATATATCAACAGACGTGATCTTTAACTATCTATATACTACTCATTAGCATCTTAACAGTATATGAAAAGCTGTATCACTTAATATAACTTTGGCTAAACAAAAACTTGATGAATCAGGACAGTAGAATCCCGTTTGAAGAATAAATAAAAGCATTAAAATGCTGGAAAGGTTAGAAAACAAAAGCTGTGCTGAGGAATCACTATGTCAAGCGTTTGAACTGACAAAGAAAAAGAAAGCAGCTCAATGCTGAAGTCCGCACTGGTGTTAAGGAAGCCATTCTTCTGCCAGTGTTGCAGATTGATGAGTAAAATCACTCTCTGCCCAGAGGTCCTTCAGTGATGACTATGGGAGCAAAGTTACCTAGTGACGGTGTGTGTGTTGGCACAAAGCTACCTGCATTGCAAACAAAGTGTGAAATCAAGTCCAAAATCGAGTTTGTTTTTTTTTAAAATTTAATCACTCTTATAAGTTATCACCCTCTCTATACACACACACACACACACACACACACATATATATACATACATACATACATATAGAAAACCCTGGTGGTGTAGTGGTTAAGAGTTCGGCTGTTAACTAAAAGGTCAGCAGTCTGAATCCACTAGGTGCTCCTTGGAAACCCTGTGGGGCAGTTCTTCTATGTCCTATAGGGTCGCTATGAGTTGCAATCGACGCGGCAGCAATGGGTTTGTATTTTTTTTTAATATACATACATGTATGTGTATATATGTATGCATATGTATACGTAAGGAACACTGGTGGCGCAGTGGTTAAGCACTCGGCTGCTAACCAGATGGTTGGCAGTTCCAACCCACCAGCTGCTCCATGGGAGAAAGATGTGGCACCCTATGAGGCATTCTATTCTGTCCTATAAGGTCGCTGTGAGTTGGAATTAACTTGATGGCAAGGGGTTTCGTTTGGATATGTATGTATACACGCACATATATATGTAAAGAGTTTCTCATTCTTTATCTTAAGAGATATTTTACAGATCAAACTCAATAATTGTGTGTGTCTAGGCAGGTGAATATGTATGTATACAGAAGCCATTCTTTTGTGCTAGAGAAACATAACCTTCTTATTCACAATACAGCAATGATTTCCTTGCAGTCTGCTCCTACAGACATCAAGACCAGATTGGTTTTCATTTTAAATAAAACGGATGAGTTTTTGTGATATTTCTAAAAAACAAATGGTTTCAGAACATTACAATAAGCAGTTTAAGCCCCTCAACAAGTAGCTGAATGTTATATCTATTCCTTATTTATGGAGCATCTGTAGCAGTTTTACCTTTAGTGTTGAATGATATTTTTCTGTATTTCCACAATTGGAAATGTATGGTGATTTTTTTACCATTGACAAAAACAAATTGACATCAAAACAATTTCATTATGACACTTACTTGAATACTGTACTTTGAGAATTTGTAGTCCATATTTAATTTTTATCCAGTTTTACTCGATCTTATTTTTAAGAGTGGTGCATGCCACTAATTGAATGTATTAAGAAACACATTTGCCTGTGGATTTTGAGCCTAACTCCTTATCAAATTTCTATCCAACAGTTTGTGCTGAAAAGTAATTTCTTGAATTCTTATAACAGTTATACACTTTAAACTTTGACTAAAATACAATAATAATATAGATGTACAAACACAAAGTTACCTGTAAGGTGATTTCTCTTCTTCCTAAAAAGTGCAAAAATTTGGAGAAATAGAGAATGTGCCCATTTCTGGGAATATGGACGGAATTCTTTATCAGCCCTATTTAAAACTGCCTTCAAGGATTGTATTAAACTTAATTATGAAAAATTACAAACGAGATGATGTGTAATTGGTACCAGCTGCAGTTCGTATTGGAAAGCATAAATACAAATGAAATTACTTATTTTTTTTTTTTTATTTACTATTCAAATGACAGTTCTAAACTGGTAGGGATAAAATTGACTTTACTTTTTTTTCCTACTGCGTTGAAAATATTCCTTTACTTAGTAACAGTAGTAGAGACAAATAGCCCATGTAAAGACTACTTCCCTCACCCAAAGAATCCACACAATGAAGAAAACACAAAGCAAGTTTCTTTCCTCTATCTAATTAGTAGCTTATTGTTTTTATATCAGAATTAGTGACCTGGGATCAAATTCTCCTCAAGCAACAACGTGGGATTATTTTTTAAAAATCTATATATCCAGCTATCCATCCATCTATTTAATGTCATATCCTTCCTTAAGCATAAAAAAAAAGGCAAAAAGAAGACAACAGACAAATACAGACAGCAAGGTGGAAAAGGTGACTTCACCTGTGGAGGGCGGCTGGGAGGTGTGCTTATCAGGGGGGTAGGACCCATAGCAGAGGCAGCATTCAAACTCCTTTCCCTTTCGTCCTGGTAAATTCGGTCTCTTTCAGCTTCCGGTAACTGCAAGAAGTTCTGCATAGCCCGGAGGTTTACCAGCAAAGACTGGGATGCAGTCTTGGGGTCCTCTTCCTTTCGGAGGATTTCTGAAAGCAAGCCCTGCAGGGAAAGAAAGGCACAGGGTAAGCCTGCTCCCGAGCTTTGCCAAGCCATCAATGATCCTTTCCTTTTCTTTTCCACTCTGTTTAGAAAATGAACAGTCAGAGGCATTAATTCTGCATAGGATATATTAGTTACAACTGAAGTAGTAGAGAAGAGAGCCTCAATTGTATTCTTAATTTTATTAAGCATCTGCTTTACATATAACATAAACTGAAACTGCCTAATTGGTCTCCTTCCTTTGAGTAGTTTAACTTGCCATGAAATCTTTCACAGATGATCGAGGGAAGTTAAGAATAAATGAAATCCTCATAATACAACAGCGTTGAACTGTGTGCTTCTCAAGCTTGCTAGACAAAGACAGTGGAATGCCAACAGCCCAATATGTAAAGATATAAAGCCATTTCTAGAGATGTAGTAGAACTTTCAAAGAAAATACTAGAAAATGAATTGTAACACATTAAAAGAAAGGCTACTACTAAAGCATCACCAGAGATTCATGCTACATTTTCACAAGCAATATTTTAAGTCATTCCTTAACGCTGAATTACAGTAAAACCCGTGACAGCTGGAACCTGTGTAAGGCGGAAACATGTCAGAGAAGGGGAGTTCAAATATTTTCCACTAATACGTGGCGATAGAGAAATGGTAAGATTGCACCCTGTCAAAGGCAGAAAACTTGGGAGACCTGGAAGGACAAGGCAGTCCGTCGAGTTGGGCTGTCATAGGTTTCACAGTATTGAAGCCAATGACACCAAATGTCTCTTTCAATTTACCATTTAAAGGAAGCCACATGGACTCCTCCAAATAACTCCAAATAGTATTTTGCTATATATCCTGGGGTGACAGGTTGAAATTTTGAACTTCAGAAACCATAGGTAAAATTTAAAATACATAACCACTTTTCCATACTGCAAAAGTCTATCACAGCATGCCAAGGGAAAGAATATTTGTCCAGTTTTCCCATAATTATAAAATTTCTTGGTTGTGAAGAAATTATATTAATTTAGTGACTAAGAATCATTATTAATGATTGAAGAAATTTATAAACCATTAGAAAACTCCTTTTAGGTGCCTTTCTCCCCAAATAATAGAGCATTAACTTACAACTAATTTTTTTTTAACTTTTGGAAGAATGCTTTTAAAAATGGGTCCCCCACTGCATTGAAGTGATTATACGAAACAGGAAAATAAGATTTTCTGTCCATTTTGTCAGGGCTGAGGATGAAATAATGCCTGGAACACCAGGAAATTTGCTTTCTATACTTGGTCAGAGTATCAGCTTCTCACAGTTTAGATCAGGATAAAATTTTAGCAAGCTTTCTATATAAATTGCAAATCTCACTTTCCAATAACCAGTGAAAATGGTTAAAAGGTACATTTTGGGGAACTAAAGTGTGCATGTCAAAATAATCAAGCCCCAAGGTTATAACACTCAGGTGTTTTCACGGTCTCTGAGAAGTGCAAACCTAGCTTTGTTTCCAGTTCCTCAGTGACAATGTACCATATTGACCAAATTATAAGAGTTGCGTGCAGACAGTATAAAATCACTGTCTATTTTAAAAACGATTTGTTGTTGTTGCTGGGTGCCATTGAGTTGGTTCTGACTCACGACGACCGCATGTGACAGAGTAGAACTGCACCATAGGGTTTCCTTGGCTGTCATCTTTTACTGAAGCAGATTGCCAGGTCTTACTCCCGTGGAACTGCTGGGTGGGTTTGAACTGCCAACCTTTTGGTTAGCAGCTGAGGGCTTCACTGTTGCACCACCAGGGCTCCTTAAAAATAATTTATAGCCTGCTATTTTAAAAAGAACCTTCAACAGGTTCCCAGAGCTTTAGAGTAAATTTTAAAGAAGTTTCTCATTCAGGCTACTGCAACCCAAAAAACTGGAAACGACCTCAACTTTCAGTTTCACCAGGAAGAAATGTGACTAAAGAAGGAAAGGCCCAAGACCTTCCATTTGTAATACTGACAAGTGACGCTGCAACTGTGTCTCCATACGAAGAAACACCCATCCAGCTCAACTGAAATTCCGTCCAACACGCAACCATCAGCGATTTAATTTGCACCGGGCCAAATAACTAGATTGACTTTGGTTTTGATCTGTCATATTAAAACCAAAACATACAGGTCTCAAAAACAAAAATGTGAAGATAGGTGTAAGCCCCCCACCCCTGAAATGTATTAAAGATGTATTTAAAAATGTGCTTGGCAAAGCAAAACATACCAACTACACGGAAATAGCAGCACACAGACACATTATACATAGTATCTTATCCATATAGTTGTCATGTACCCTCGAGGCGATCCGACTCCAAGTGACCCTATAGGACAGAGTAGAACTGCTCCATAGGGTTTCCTAGGCTGTAATCTTTACGGGAGCAGATTGCCACGAAGAGGCCGGTGGGGTCCAACCTTTCGGGTAGCAGCTGAGCACTTAACCACTGCGCTACCAGGGCCCCTGTTATAAGTATAGTATGCTAGAAATCCCTTGAATATAATAACCTAACATTCATTTTTGTCATCCCAGCACAAGGCCTACCAAGTATTTGATAAATATTTACTAAGTGGATTAATTCTGTGTATACATACCACAGGAAGAAAGAAAAAATTACACACTAGCAATAGCAATTTAAGACCTAGATATGCTGCCCATGGGTAAATTCTAACGGTAATCATCAGCACTCAGGGTGGACCTTCAATAAAAAGTTACGGGGCACTCTGTGAGATATTTCTCTACATTAATTGCTCAGTAATTTTTTAAAAAACAAATTAAGGCAAAAGAGATCCTAAATATATTTAGGGTGCTATTGTATTTGAGAAACTTGAAATTAGACATTTATAAATCTTAAATAACAAAGTAATATGTATTTTTATTAAAAATATTTCCTGAGACAGCAGAGAACTATAGTGAGAAAAGCAAACACAGGAAATAATACATAATAATATTTTCTCTGAATTCTAGCTAGCAGAAGACTAATGCATGCTTGAAGTAAGAGCGAGCATGGCACTGTGCAGAGAATTTAGAAATCTCTCTACTCATATTTTGACACTGGCATGACTTCCCATTTAAGCATGCAAGTGTTTTAGGGGCAAAGTATTTTGTTTCCTCTTAAAAATCATTCTAACGAATCAATTGCAGTTTTTCTGCCTTGAATATGTTGAAGTTCTGCAGCAATGTTTCCAGCCCTTGAACACTCAAAGAACTCTAAAGTAGCCAGTGTAGACAGTCTCAGGTGTTTTAGAAACCTTCGGGGTTTTTTTGGCCCAGAGCTTTCAATGAGGGGAGTGCCCCCTGGTGGAAATGCTTGAAGATATTGTTAGAAAACGTTTGGTTAGAGTCTGTTAATTACCAAAAATTTTTCATCCCTTTAGAGTAATTCTGGATGCAAAATGATTACTATCAGAACCCAAATATGGTAATGCATATTTCAGTTGTATTCAGGTCACTGTCACTTGAGTAGATGTATTTATGGATTCAAGAAGTGTGCGGCCTCTGTTTCCCATTTCCCAGAGCTGAAATATGCCGTACAAACTTGCCAAGTTAGGTCCAGCTCGTTTGTCGTAATCCCCCATGGGTGGATATCAAGAGTGATCTTTTCCCAAAAATTCTTCTAAAAAATAGTTATTTCCAGGTCCTCAAGTACCTTACTTGCCATCTCCCAGAACATGCTGAAATACCAGGATTAGAACACGTGATCAATACTGTACACCTACGGTTGAACTAGATTAAACAAAATTCATTAGTCATTCTTGTTTCTGAAAAGAAAACTTGATAATTTGTATGTTATGTAGGAAGTTACCAGCACGGCATGAATATTAATTTTATTGGAAATGAGAAGCTGCCTTTCATTGGGATTTCACATCTTACAAATAATTGGGTGGGTGCTCTATATGTGAAAACATAAAATTGCTTGGAATTGCAGTTACATAGTGGTTAAGTGAGAATTCTTTTATTTTTTTTTTTTCTGTTAAAGAATCTACTGATGAATTCCTAAACCTTTTTTTACATTCCGAAAAGAGTTTACAAGTTATTACAAGTAAAATTCATTAGTAATTGTAAAAGAAAGAAAAAACCTTCAATAAATATTATCAGTACTTCCAAAAGCTAATTATGAATTCTTTAAAACAGCAGATAAGCCAAAGAGACTGCCAATCTGAATAAAAAGCCTGTCTGGCCTCCCGTTTGTCTCCTCTTTGAACATAATCACTGATTCAAATAGATTTTATCAGCTTCATGGAACTTCAAAGTTCTCAGAAGAAAAACATGATTTGATGAAATCTCCCCACTAAAAAGAAAACAGGTAAAATACTCTTCGAGGCTACTTGCCTCCATTTTTTGGTGAATTTTTAATCACATGGCCAGGTGAAAGATTATTTTCAAACTCCACCTACTACCTTGGACTCACGCCAAATAAGTTATAAGCAGACGCATTTATCTTTGTCGTTTCGCAGGATAACGAGGGCTGTCACAACGGGGTAATAGCACCTTTTTTGCCTTTTATTCAATAGTGATATGGATAGTGGCCTTTTCTTAAATTACACTGTGAAGAATTAAGGAACACAGTAGCAATTTCTGTTATACTTAAGCAGGCAAATTTCTCTCTACCACATAATTTACAGAACTCAAATTCAATAAAACATTACATGATGGTCCATTACTGTTATCAGTTTTGAATAATCCATCTTCATTCTTCATTTTACTGGAAAATAAAGTGTGCCAAAGACGAGATGAGGGGGGAGAAAAAAAGAAAAAAGCCACAGAATGGGATCAGAGTTAAACCCCGGGTTTTACTAAAAACACAAGAAACAAAACAAAACAAAAAGGCACTAAAGAATATATTTTCTTCTGTCACAACCTTTAAATTGCAAGAGTACAGAGAGGTGAACTGAGAAGCAGAAATCCTGGAAGCTTCAGCAATTATTTTTAGCCATAGGTTTCCATTAAAAAGACATCGAGTAGGCATAACTGAATGAATGGCATGTGCTAAAAGCTGGTATCTTCAACAGCATTAAAGAACATATGCCCAGCAATTCAGAGGGGAGAATTTCCTTAAAACAAATAATTACATAAACTTCACCATAAATTTTCAGAAAAGGCAGACTTAAAAAAAAAATCCTATGTGCAAGTCTGAAGAGAGGGTTAGGTTTTAATTCAGGAGACCCTGTTAAGATTATAAGTCTCCAATTTGGAAGTAAAACATGAAACCCAGGATTTTAAAGTTATGCAGAGCTGTCAATGACTAAAAAATTCTTGACTCGTATCAGCATTGTCTATTAATGTTTTAACATACTGTTTAAGAGGATACAATGACTTTATCCAGTTATATAACTTTGATTTGTCTGTATGTATTTTACATTAATTTTTTTAACTTGGGGTTGGAATTGCACATTGTAATAAGTGCACACAAATGTGTGATGTACGATTTAATTCTGCAGAGCTCCTTGTCTATACATATGCATTAGCATGTGTATTTTCGTACTCCACACTCACACCATACACTCTCTCTCTGCACCTGCTTTTATTGAAATGCATACACTTTGAAATAAACACACTACATGCATTCATATGAATGTATAATCATTAAAATAAATGCAGCTGTGTGTATGTGTGCGCGTGTGTGTGCAGGTTTTTAAGTATGACCACCCAAAATACATGCATGCTTGCGTGTGCAAAAGCTAGTTCTCAAAAGCTGAACACTTATATACATAGAAAATTACGCCTTATTTAAATCCAACAGCTTCAAATATGGCTCAACTTCCACTTTTTACTGAGGAGTACTACACACCAAATAAATCAAACCCCTTTATCACCCAGGCCCCCCAAAAATGTTTTGGTAACGACTTTTTCTAAATGGGCTATTCTTAGAAGGCTCTGTATCAAGCTGTACCAGATTTTCATTCTACCTTCCTCCTCAGAAAATTAAAGTCACTCTTTTTCACGTTAACCACAGAGATAACTATCTTTTCAAAGTGATTAACAGAGAATCTTGCCTTTCTTCCAGTAACAAACTCTACAGATATTCCTGGAATCTGTCAATGTGAGAACCCAAGGCAAAACAAATGGCCAACTCTTCACAGTCAAGGCTGTAACGTCATAACCCAGAGAAGAGAACCCATGACGGTGACTTCACCTTCACCTCTCTCGGCCCAACTCTTGCTATTCTTCATCATATAAACTTTTCTTAGCACTTCAAGAAATAACCATTTGCTCAATTTTTAAAGCACTTACAGTGAATCGGTATGTCATTTGTATCTACTTCAACATTATCTTTGGGGGTTTTTAATTCAATTCGACAGATATTTATTAAACATTTAAGCAGATAGTTGTCTATTTTTTTGGCCAGTACAAAGAACTACTAATAGTTACTGCTATTTAAAAAAAAAAAAAAAAAAAGAATGCTACCAGAAACAGGAGTATCTAGAGGGTTGATTTTTGATTCATTCATTCATCTATTTTATTTTTTAAATAACTATCCCTAACTGAATATAGGTGTTACATGTACCAGCTATTAATGAACACTTCTTTTTTTTTAAGTTGTAAAAATACAGAACGAGGTAAAACCATAGAATTTTAACTTGAGACATAACCTTCTGCAATTACCCTTTTAAAAACAGATAAATAAGGTACAAAAAAAACAGATGAAAGAACTGAAAACAACACTGAGTTAAGGGCTTTGTCAGGTCTCCTAACTCCCAATCTAGTTAAGGCAAGCCAAAAATAAATCACAGCTGGGATTCTCCTAGGTATGGAAACTGCCAACAAGGAATTAATACTAGATTATTTTTGTACCAGGATTTTATTCTCATAATCATGTAACAAAATAACTTAAATGTAAGGGAAAAGTATGAGTCAGGCAAAAAAAAAAAACAAAAAAAAAACCCAAAAAACATTCAACAAGAGAAAGAACATAATGTCCTCATTCTAATCAAAGTTACATGTTCTTTTCGTGTTTTTAGTGTGCCTGGGCTAAAAAGTAAACACCATATATACCATGCTTGTTTCCAAACAAAGGAATTAAAAAAAAAAATTATTTTTTCCACATTCACAGTGTAATTCAGTCAAAATATGTTTGGGGCTCTCAAATATCTTTATCTTACAACTTCTCATATATCATACTTTTTCCATGCTCTTCTAAAGTATCTTCTATGCTGATAATATCTCCACAGGAATTTGCCCAGGAGGACAAAGGTGTGAACAGTAGGAGTATATGCAGAGCTCAGAGAGAAGTCCAGAATCAGGGCCTCCCACTAAGGCCTATGGGCCAAACCCAGCCCATCACCTATTTTGTAACTAGTTGTATTGAAAGATCACAATGTTTGGATAGAGAGCCTCTGGCCCTGAAAGCCTGAAATATTCACTATCAGGCCCATTACAGAAAAAATTTGCTGACCCTTGGTCTACAGAATGAGGTTTGGAAGAATATTAACAATAATGTGGAGGAGAGAGGACCAAGCTATGAAGCATTTTATGTTAATATGCCATATTATTGTTTTCTCAAAATGGCCACACAGGATTAAATGCTAGAAACTGCTACTGAGCTGCCTCTCAATTTTTTTTTTTTTTAAGTTGTAGAATGAATAAGAGCTTCAGAACAGAGATGCCTGGCATGTTTAGGGTGGCTGGCCTAGGAGCAGAGCCCCGGTGGTGCAATGGTTAAGAACTCGGCTGCTAACCAAAAGGTCAGCAGTTGGAAGCCACCAGTCGGTCCTGGGAAAACCTACGGGGCAGTTCTACTCTGTCCTATAGGGTCTGCTATGAGTTGGAATCGAATCGACAGCAGCGGGTTTGGTTTTTGGTTTTTGGCCTAGGAGCTTGCTCCATTTTGTTATAAGCTCCTGCTTCTACATTCCTGAGGCTGTAACCTTGACTTCTTCCCATTCACAAGCGTATGGACTCGGACCTCTGGCTGGGTGGAACCAACAGACCCCGGCACCCTAGTGGCCTGGCCTTTGCCCCAAAGCCACTTTTAGCAAATACGGGTGGGGTCGGGAATGTGATTGCACGAGCATGAGTCTACCCGGGAGGCTATGTGTGGAAGCCCTAAAATCAAGGCACTTGATGAAAGTAGAGAGCTGGTTTAAAGTCTGAGGCAGACTCCATTTTGTCCTAAGCTCTGCTTCTGTTTCTTGGAAGGTGACCCATGACTGTTGGTGGGTAATCGTGTCTGAGTGGTGTGTTAGAAAAAGAACAAGACAGGGAAAGACACACACACAGAGAAGGAAGGCACCATTTTGAAGACCAAAGCAGATGAATCTAGAAGTTCAGGAATGCCAAGGATTATGAGCAGTCACCAGAAACTAGGAGAGAGGCCCACAAAGGTAATCAACACAGTCAAGACCTTGACTTGGATTTTAGCCTCCAGAACTGTGAGAAAATACATTGAGAAAATACATTTCTGTTCTTTAAAGCCACCCCCCTGTGGTGTATTTGTAATAGCAGCCGTAGGAAACTAAGGCAAGTGGTAACATGGAAAGGACACTGGGCTAGAAGCCTGGAATCCCACTGACGACCTTGAGCAAGTCATGAAACTTTTCTCACCCTTCAAATACTAACAGTCTATGATTCCATGATATATAAGGATAGGTAATGCCAGTATAAAATTTTTTTGTTATTTATTCTTTCAAGGTCCCTGAATCTGTATCAATCTGTGCATAGATGAGGTATCTGATAGGGTAAAAGTGATCAAATTTAAGCACCACCAGGAACAGTCAATATGATCACATGAAGAAAAAGAATAAAATGCTAGTATAGAGTCAAAGGATAAACATGAGTACAAATGGGGCTAAGAAAAGAAGAGGGAGAAAAAGGGAGAGAGTAAAGAATCATTTACAAAGAGAACAAAACTAACCTGAGTTCTGTTAAAAGCCACACGTGCAAATACTGCCTGGGAGATTCCTGCTCGTTTCAGTTCATCACGTACCCACTGGTAGATTTCGGAAGACACCTCTGTGTTGGTTGAGACCTGTTGCTCCAAAGGCTTATTCATAGATCTACTGACAGGGGGAGGGTGGTTCAAGTATTGTTGGTTTAAGGACTGCTGGGCTAAAAGTCTATTCACTGCATACTGCTGGTTCAGCAGCTGAGCCATCACCAGCTGCTGGTTGACCAACTGAGGACTGATGGGCGTTGATACAAGCCCAGGGTGCAGGTTCGGAAGAGGGGTCCGGACAGAGGGCTGGCTGCCATGGGAGAGCTGCGCGGGGGATGGAGGCTGCTCGGCTGTGTTCCCTGGGACCGGCTGCTGGCCAAAGTTGACATGGTTGGCGCCTTGCTGGGATAGTTCAGAAAGACTATCCATTTCAACTAAAGTGGACAAAAAGTAAAAGCATGTTAAGCCAACAATGAACACTGATAAACATTTCCGACCATTTTCTAGAAAAATGAGAGTAGGCACAGGGTGCAACCCGACCTAATTAAACCAAGAGAATTTCAAGATGGAACTCACCAGGCTGTGCTTTTCCTTTCCTCTTCTGCACAATTCCACCCACTTTGAAAAAGGGACAAACACTCCTGGTCTTATTTTTTAATGTAGCTTACATTTAAGGCCTAAAATCAATTATTTTCAAAATGTATGTGACTAGTTTTGGGTTCAAGTGAACTGAAAGTCACTCACTCTCACTGATTACCCCAAGAAGGCTTAAAGCAATGATGTTTATTTTAAGGATGTCATTTGCTTAATGATAACTAGAACCACTGAGTTGAGCTAAGAAAAGATACGCATTCAACTAAAGAAAAAAAGAAATGTACAAATATTTTCTCACGATAAATATTAACTCTTATTACTCTAGGTAAAAGATTTGGAGGAAAAGAGAAGACATGAAATGTTATCTTGTTCAACTTTTACCTTGCAGTGAATATAAAGAAAGATTTGATCTAATAAAAAAAAAAAAGATTAAATCTGATCATAATAATAAGTAATAATCACTGAGTGTATATTGTGCTCTGTGTTGAGCATTTTATATGGCTTATTTAATTCTAACCACCATGGGAGGGAGGTATATCTGTAAATATTTCTTAGAATAAAGCTAGTAATTTATTGCAGAGCAAGTCAGCATAGCCAGTATTGCTAAGACCCAAATGTTTTTTCAAGAAGCTATGGCTATCTCCACACGCTAAAAACAATCTTGAGAGAAAGGGGTGGGGAGCTGTTCTGGTACAATGATGATGATGCTGTCACGATTTTGCAGTTTGTTCCCACCTACCCAGGATGAATGCTTTTCCCTTGGCTAGATCCCTCGTGTGGATTGGCTGAGCATCAGCTCTAAGTGTGTCAAATTCTTTGCTGCTGCAATGAAGAGACTGGTTTGATGCTCTTGACTGGAAAGGCTAAGCATGGAGCTGTACGTAGAGAGAGGTAACTCTTTCCAAATAGCACAACATACTTGCCATGTATAGACCTTGGCTCTGGTTTTAATCATCATTTCTCTTTTCATTAAATATTCAGGTTTTATATTTAGAAGAACTTCTCATATTGCTATAGTCACTGATATCTGCAAAATATAACTAAGAATTGGGTGAAGAAGCCTTCAATTTCTACTAGTGATATCAGCCCAAGTGGGCCATTCATGGAGAATAGTAATTCAAGCAATTATTCCAAAAATGATGCATTGTCTCCATTACAGCCTTAAGCTATAAAAGGCAAGGAATCTGTTCTGGTAGATGGATGGTTTTTGTTCAAATATTAAAAGCTAAAACATGCTCAAGTTTCAGGTTATCTTGTCTCTTAAAACCTTTCTGAAAAGTTATCGTTGTTATTGAATGTAATGCAGGTAAACAGAAATAGATTCAAAGCAGAGCATAATGCTATGCATATTAAATATCCCATTCCAATATTATGTTAAAAGACATTATTTGGAAGGTACGAGTATGAGAAAGGAAACATTAATAGAAATTAAAACACTACCCTTAATCACAGTGTATACTTTTTCAAACACTAACAAACTCACTAGGGAGGAAATGTCATAATCTAAATGCTTAGGTAAAACACACAACTTTTATCTGTCATTTTACACTGCAGATAATTTTAACGTATTTCCAGTGTAACAAATACTGACCTAAATTATATGTTAAGATAGGATATATCAGGGGACAATACCGAGATTAACAGTTTAAAAATGATGCAATGATTTTTTTTGGTATGGCTGGCGAAGCAGTGAGCCCATCAATGTCTTTATGCATGGGGGGGAGAGGGGATTAGAGTCATAAAAATCACATGATTTCAATTGTGGAAACTGTATTTTTCCTTAAAAATTGGGTGTAAAAACGGGCACTTTCTCTGTCTCTCAACAACAAAAACCTAAAGGCATGATTTACCTCTGCGAGAAATCACAGCTAATATTAGTTATTCAAGGCCTGGTTAGGTCTTTACTGAGATGTTAAAACATGACAGCTCCCCTCCTCACGCCTCGATTTCCTGCATGTCTGACAACCAAGTCAGTTCAGCTGATTTAAACACAAACATTTATTGAATTTAATTATCTCATTATACTCATACCCACCCCCACACCCCCAAAGAAACATTCTAAATTGATCTCTAATGGGGCAATCAAAAGACCTGGCTTTAGATGTGACTTTGATAAACCCCCAAACGACAAGTAATGGTATGTAGCCACCGCTGCAAGGGTTTTCTGCTTACCCATCATATCTTTTGTCTTCTTGAAATGTTTGTACCACCTTCCAAATTCTTGACATTTTGCCGCTGAGACATTTGCATAGTAAGTGCTGTTCACAATGGAAGAAATCATACTCTGCATGAAGAGGGAGGGAGAACATTTGTAATACATAGTGGCACAAGATGGAACACAGACATTATTGCAATTGTGGAAACGGTATTTTTTTTTTTTTTTAATCAACTGAGTACCAATATATTTTTGTCTCACTCTTTAGCCTAAAGCCTCAACTTCTTAAAATTCACTAAGTAGATCATCAAATGCTTATTTAAGTAGAAAGTCCACTGAGACCAGCATAAAGCTATCAACCCACAGACTTGGCTCTAGCATTTATGGAATCTCTACCCGTGTCATCGATTTCGAGGCTGACAAACTCTCACCTATTCCAATAAATTTAAATATGTGAAGATGAGTTTATGATTGCAATTTATAAATAAATGCAACTTTGAGGTTTAGCAACTGTACTGTACAGACTAGCTACGCGAAGTATGGTCCAGAGATCAGCAATATCAGCAACATCTAGATTCTTGTTAGAAATGCAGAATCTTGGGCCTACCCCAGACTTATTCATTCAGGACCTGCATTTTACCAAGATCCTCAGGGGATTCACAATGCACGTTAAAAATCGGGAAACACAGCTTGCACTTTCCATTCCTTTTATTTGGATATGCTTTGGAGGTGCATTAATACTGTTCAAAAGTTGACCACACTGAAGAAGAAACAAACTACTCACAGAGATCCTCTGTCGGAGGAAAAACGGTTTTGCAATTTTAGTGTTAGCTTCATCTATAGTAAAGCTTGAATTTTAAATTTTAAACTGACCTTAACAAGTTAAAATATATACATTTCATGTGTACTAAATTTTCTCCAGGATACCACAAAAGAAGAAAATGACCTATTTTGTCCCTTGTCTTCATCCTGCTTTAAACAAAAGCCCTGGAAATAAAAATAGTCTACAACTCAAAAAAAAAAAAAAAAAGAAGAAGAAGAAAGGTAATGATTTTGGTGTATTACTAGGAAACTTTTAAAGCTCATTTTCAGTAAATATTTTCTTCCCAGCCAGTTTTGGTTATGGTAATTTCAGTGACATAACTCATGATTCGTTTTAACTATAATGCCCACACTCTCCAGTAGAATTATATTATATTCCTATTGAGTCTTAGGAATAATTAAATTTTGGAACATCAATCGATCTCCCACCCCTAAGTGAAGAAACACAGGAACTTATATTTCAGACTTCAGTTGGTCTGTGGTGAAAAGTTTACAGAAGGTGGCATTGTTCTGGAAGGCAGTGAACAACCAGAAAAGCCAGTTTGGGGACAAATGTATTTTTATATCATTATCTTTTTTAAGCTACGTATAATTTAGAGTGCTTTTGATTATTGTTGATTTCCCTTGAAACCCATTACCAATGTTAACTTTATAACATGCACACATTTCAATAATATGTATATTTTGGGGATCTCTGAAAAACTTTCAGAGAAAGCATGCTAGAGTATAGTATTTATGTAAAACATAGCAATAGCTCCAAAGAGACGCTGCGATTTTTTTTTTTGACACTTCCTACTTTATCGTCCTTTTCACATTTTATTTCTCTAAAAAGACATTCTTAACGTGCTCACAATGCTCTGCCATTAATCCAATAGCTGGCAATTTCCCTAAGAGCCTCCCATAGTCCACAGTACAAAAAGATACTTAGCAAGGTTGCCAGAACCAGAGCCAGAAGATGGCCTGATCCAGTTAGCAATCCGTCAGCTTCAATCACACTTACTCGGTTGTAATAATGGATCAATAAAGTCGGACACTAATAAAACTATTGAGATGGCTGATGGATAGTGGTGATTCTGCAAATGGATGGCAGTTGATGTTCTTCCACTTTGATTCAATATTTTAAAAATTATTACCCTTATACCTAGACATTTTGGCAGTTCCTTAAATGCTAATAGTTCATATACATTTTAGATGTAGAAATTATGGAATATCTAAATTTTGCTTAAGTTTTTGACAAACATCCACTCTACCTCAGTTTTGCCAACAGTCTAATATATGAAATTTGCTCTTTGTTCCACAGCTACTATGGGATACAAAAACAAATGAGACAGAGCCTCTGCCCATAAGAAGCTTACCATCTGTTAGGAAGACAGATACATATAAACAGAATTTCAATTTAGGGTGATTCAGAACACCAAGAATGAAAAAGATATGAGGGAAAAAAAGGAAGAAGAAACCATGGCGTGTTAAAAAAAAAAAAAAAAGGCTGAAATAGTTTTATAAAACTAGATCCTATGTGTGTAATGGTGCTATATAGTTCATTATTATCCATATGTGGAAAATAATACCCATACGTGCATGATCAGCAAAGCTTCCTACTACCCTTGTTTAACCCTAAATTGGTAGGCTTCTGTCCTTAAGTGACTCTCTGATGCTTTCTAATCTGTCAAATAGGATGTGTTTAAGGAACTCTGATTAATGTAAATATTAGCCTACCAAAAAAACCAAAACTTCACTGCCATCTAGTTGATTATGACTCATATTGACCCTACAGGACAGAACAGAACTGCCCCATAGGGTTTCCAAGGCTGTAAATCTTTTAAGGAAGCAGACTGCCACATCTGTCTCCCATGAAGTGGTTGGTGGGTTCGAACCGCCAAACTTTTGGTTAGCAGCAGAACATTTTAACCATCGCACCAGCAGGATTCCGCAATATTAGCTTAAGCAAGACAAAAATCAAAAGGTAATCCACAGGTATGGTGCACGCTCAAATGACTTCTTGTGTCTTTCTGTGTTTTGGGGGGATTGGGAAATAGTCCATAATTCAAGTAATGTGGGGTCACCTCTATTTTTATTGGAGCAACCTGCAGTAACCTGTACAACTACACTCTCACATAGCCACTGAATGAGGCTTTTTCCCCTGTGGTGAAATCCCTACTAAAGCTCAGGTATGGCATCTGAATTAGACTGATGAGTTTCAAGGGCAGGAAAGAAAGATTTCAGAATCTTGTGGTGGCACATGGCATCTAAAAGATTATACTTAGTACTGTAATCTTGAATTTGGAAAATGAGAAAAGCTTTCAGTTTAGATAATACAAATAACAGAAATTCAATTCTGTCAAAATTTTCCCAGGTGGTGGGGTTTGCAGAGGGCAGACTAAGTCCCAGGTTCTTAAGGCGAGAGCTTGGGATTCTTAATGTCAACCAAAAACACAGACATTGGTTTAAAAAGATTGCACTAGGTTGTGAGTTCATGCAGGTCTTGGGTTCCATACTATTTTTCAGCCCAGCGCCTAGCATATATTAAATACAAACTAAATGTTCATTTGATGAAATGGAATCAAACAAAGCTGCGTTCAAGTCTAAGACGTGTCACACGTTGGTGGTGTAACTTTGGGCAAATTAACTGATCACTATGTCCCAGTTCCCCGTGTTAAATGGGAATGATAGGAGCACTCACCTCATGGAGTTGTTCTGAGAATCTATTCGTTTTGTCATTTTCATTCACTCAGTATATATTTATTGATCTCCTACTCTGTGCCAAGTACTGGGCTAGTCACTAAAAAACAATGACTTGAAGAGACACACTATCTATTCTCATGGAGCTTATATTCCACTAGGAGAGACAGATAATAAATAAAATAATACATGTGATGCAATTAGCACAGAGCCTGGAACATACCAAGTATAGGCTCAATAGATGTTAATTACTCTGACTACCCTCTGCCTCCTCCTCCTCACTGGGCTTTTATTATATTACATTTCAGCTTGGTGGAAAGAGTGTGCTTTAAATAACAGAAGAGCATCAGATAAAATTTTCAAATGCTGTATTTTAAGTCAAATAAATTTCCTTATGAAGAGCAAAGAGTGTAATATATTATTAAGTTTTAAGTTGGGCCAAGGGATAACAAGGGATTACACCAAGGAAAAGAGTATTTCCATTTGTTCCAATATTCCATTTTGTTGGCATGTTTGGAAGCTGGCATGCATCTGGTAGCTGAGATTAAAGAAGACACACACCACTCTTCTGAGTTGGATGCCTGATCCCTGCCCTGTCCCATGGCTATCTTACAGTTGCTCATCCTTCAGGATATATATTGGTTATCCCTGCTTCTGCAAGGCCTTTCTTGACTACCCAAACATCCTGCATATAGCACCACCTGCATATAAACCCGTTGCCATTGAGTCGATTCCAACTCATAGTGACCCTACATATAGGACAGAGCAGAACTACCCCATAGGATTTCCAAGGTGGATTCGAACTGCCGACCTTTTGGTTAGCAGCTGTGGCTCTTAACCACTGTGCCACCAGGGCTCCACCTGCATATAGTATCCTGCATATAGTACTACCTACCAATAGCATCCTGTAACAGCATACCACAGCACTTGTCATGCTGTTTATTTTCTACTGGACTGTGAGCCATGGGTCTTATCTCAGTGTGGCCTGGGCTCATCACAGAGCTGGGTATGTATTAGGAGATCAATAAAGGGTCACTGAATTAAGTCATTACTGCAGATCACCAGAAAAAAACTTTTTTTCCTGAAAGGTCAAAGGTGGGTACAGCTCAATTGTCATATGAATCTTTGAAATCCATCACTTTTAGCTGTCACAAAAGAAATCATAGTTTCAAGAACCTTCGTTCATTAATTTGCAAGAGATCCCTTCCCAGGTTTTTCAAAATACATCCATACAGATGTCTCGGAAGTCGCAGTGCTTGGTGGTTATGTTATTCCAGCTCTCTCTCTGTGTCTATTTATATACGCTCTCCAAAGCCCTTTGAAAAAGGCACAACTTGCATTGCAAGTTTTCCTGTTCAATGGCCAGTCTGTGTAAAACATAAATAACCTAATCCGGCTGACAAAAACTCAGTCGGCTAACATCCCAAGTTCAAATGCTACACACTGCCCCGATCAATAAATAGGCCACAGCTTTTCAGTGTTGGGAAATAGAATTTAAAGTCGGCAGAAATTGGCTGTGGGTCTCATAACCCCAGTGTGACACAATATTCTCATCCTAGGAGCCAAGTTGTAAGCTTTTCTAAGATCCATAAAGCACATGTCTACTCCCTGTGAGGAGCTTCGGTTCT